CGGTGATCGGAGGCCGCCGGCCGTCCAGGGGCGCGTGCGACGACTTCCCGTGGCTCATCGGACCGGCCACGGCCGGCAGCAGCATGTTGCGCACCGGCGGCTTCGTGTTCATGAAGTTACGCGGATACGAGATCCAGCGGTGGCGCACCAATTCGTTCATGTGTCCGACCCGTAACCGGGTAGTGGTATACACCGGGGCGGGCGACGGGCCTAAAACCGAAAAGGTCATTTGCCCGTACGAGGCCAGCTACAACGCACTCCGCGGCTCGTTCGAGACGTTCTCGCCGGGCTGGACGGAACCGCTGACCGGTGCCCAGCAGCTGCAGCCCAACTCCAAGACCGTGGCCATCGAGTTCCTGAACCGCGAGTACGGAGCATACACCGTCACCTGGTTGGAGGTGTCCAAGATGCCGCTCATCATGCCGTCGACAAACGTTTACGCCATGCTGTCGAATGTCCACCCGGACTGCGCTTACAGGTGAGTCGTTTACGACATTTTTTTTCCTGCCACGACGCACGCAGTCGAGTTTAAGTCCACGCGCGATATGTGCCTGATAAAAATTATCGCCCGTGAATGAAAATCGTATGAGTCTTACACGAATACAAAGAACGTTGAAATGAGTGCAAGTGTCCCTCTCGTTTTATTCAGGTTTAAGATCGGCGACTTGGAACGTGTAGACGACGCGGTTCGAATTAGTTCGTTTTTATGTCACGTAAAACAGTCGTATTCAATCTAATTATTGTCAGGTGTGCTTAAATGAATCTCATCCATTGTTTGTCGAAAATAAGTTACGCTGATTATATATTTACATAAAATACCGAGATAACTACAATAACACGTAGTTGAGATATTATGTCACGATTTCGTACGTTTCGTTATAATAATATTATGTTAAAATGTTTGCGGTACACAGTGTAGTGCCTTTCGTTTCATCTCAGTGTACAAAAACTTACAATATTGGCTTCGTGTAGTCAATAGTATAGTCACACGTGCAACTGTTTATATGATAGTATGTTTCGTATAAAGATTGACTGCATCCGCTCACTACGTACGAATAAGGCATAACTACGTTATCCGTGCATTACGATTGATTACTTTGTTATGTTATTAAACGTATAACGATTATTATTAACGACGGCCATCCGGAAAATACACTTCGATTTGTGCGCGTGGTAATCGATTAAAAAAATATTAACAGAATAATAAACCCACAGTATGTACACATATATAGCTGAAATACTCGAATCGTGTTAGGCTTAAAATTAATTACTATTCACCCCACTCCCACCTACGGGTACCGCCCATCACTCGGATTAGATGTGAATTTATTGTGTAATAATAATGCGATTATGCAAATGAAACGCCGTAATAGAATTTTTTTTTTTTTTTTTGTTTTTCACTCTACAATATTACTACGCATAAAAGTATTACAAGTATAATTTAAATAAAATAAAAGAGCTGTGACCTTAATGTTGTAAGTTTATATTATTTAAAGCAATTTCAGTAATACTATCATGTTCAACGAAATATAATCATCTCGTGGAAAAAAATAAAGTGTAAAGGGTTAACTTGTGACTTTTATCTAACTTATTTATAATGATTATGTCTATATGTACTTACGATTCCAAGTCATTAAAATTAAATTTTCCACTATCCGCATTTTAAGTTACTTTTAACCTTTAAATTATTTATTTGTTTATTAACTTTATACATTCTCATTACACTTTATCTCCTTCAAAAATGTAATCATGTAAACTTTTATACTACACATAGGTATATTAATTTGTTTACCTACTGAAGATGAAACATTTTTATCCGGGTTTTTTTACTGAAAAAAGTTGTGCACATGGTTTTTTAGAGATAGCAGAACCAATTTTCTGAAAATAATAGTGTATAATCACATATTTTATCTAATAAAAAGTCGACTTACAAGTCTTGTATAAAAAAAAAACTTATTTCAAAAAATAATTTAACACATTCTAAAACAAACAAAATATTCTTTTGCGATAAAAAAAAAAAAACAACAATGAAATAAAACATTGCTCATAAATATAAATAGTGTAGCGGTTCGTTATCTTGATTATTCGCTTGTAAATATCTACTTCATCCGTTGTTAAAGTATAATATTTATATCAAAAATGTAGGGAGTTAATGTATTGAGTACCTAGTAGGTACTACCTACCTATATATTGTTTAAAAACATTGTCACAGTTGATTCTTCTCCATTAGATATAACTTTTAGAATAATGTTTACGGTTCTAAAAATAATATGATTGCATTTTTTTTTTGTCCTGTGCACTTGTTTTCACATTCCAAAAATTCCATTAATACAATCGTAAATATTTATTGATAAACTATTTATTACACACAAAATTAAGAATATTCACCTTAATTAATAAAATTTACTAATGAAATTGAATAGTTTTAGCATAACGTCGTCATAAATTGTATGAACCGATTCGATATAGTAGTGATGTTCATGTTTGTATTTTTAAAACCATATTTTTACCCTAGAATGTTACCGATTGCAATATATTGTGTCACTGTATTTGTGAATGTGCATTATATTTTATATGTATACTTATTTAAATAAGTATAAAAAATAAGCTAAGTAGGAAGTCAAAAATAAGATTCACTAAGATTTTACTAATTTTATTTTTCTGATTGAGTGAATTCTTGTATATTATAACTTTATTCAAAATGTACATGTTAAACTATGCATGTTTAACACCTAATTTAGTATAATTTAACTATATACTAATGTACAACTAATATGATACATTATACTTACATCATGTGCATATTATTATAATTAATTTCAAGATTACTTACTATAATACAGTCGACTCTCGATAATTCAAACCTTCGATAATTCGAAACCTTCAGTAATTCGAAGTAAATGCTCGACTCCTTGAAAATCACGCGGTAATTCGAATAAAAACAATGCAATTAAGTACACTCGGTAATTCGAAATTAAATTTTGGGAAAACTGGCCACTAACACTTGACAATTCGAAGTATCATTCGTTCAATGCTCGGAAATTCGAAGTACATAATATATTCACCAAATGTATTTTATCTGTATTCTTATAATCTTTTTATTAATAATTTACTATACAATCGTGTATAAATTTAGATTATTATTGTCGATAACTATAGAATAATATCGTTAGAACCTTATCGTTTTATTTCTTAATCGTCTCTAATCGTAATTTTATTTAACTCGACGAGTCGTCGATAGCCGTCAGCCGAATGTAGTTTTATTTTTGAAAAAATGAAACTAAATTCAATGAAGCAGAAAACCATTGCAGATTTTTTCAAAAAATAATAATCTTTTATTATAATAATAAAATTAACAATAAATAACTGTAATATGTATGTATCACCTAATTTACTGAAATAACTAATATGTATGTATGTACAATAATAAAAAATAAAATTTTTTTCTTAACTCTCTATAATTCGAATTTTTTTTGCCCTCTCGTTATTTTGAACTACTCAACAATTCGAACTCTCGGTAATTCAAAGTTTGTCAACAGTCCCGTCAATTTAAAATTATCGAGAGTCGACTGTATTTTAAATTTCTTAATTATAAATTATATATACATAAATACAATACAACAAACAATATTATTTATATTAATTTTTTGTTAAATATTTAAATATATGTATGTTTTAAAATAATGCTTATTATTTTTTATTTCAAATATTTATTTTATTTTATTTCTTAACCATTAATTTTCAAGTTTTTATGTTAAAAATAGTTGTCACTTTTTTTATTTTGAACTCATTTTATCAAATTATTTTTAGACAAAAGATTTGCGTCTCAATATTGTGACATAAGTACATAACAGTATCTTTAGTTAGGAATTACAAATCATAAACCTTTCATCAGAAATTTAAGACATTTCTTCAAATAAATATCCAATACAGTCGGTAGTAGAATTTTTTTTCACATCGATAAACAATTAAAAATTTATTTTTAGAAGATACTATACAAAAAAATCAATTGAAGTATCATCTACTAGAAAAAAACTGATCCGTATTCAAAATTAAAATATTTATGTATATATATTTTTATTGTAGATGACTTAAATATCACAAGAAAATTTTTAATAAAAGATAGTGATTAAATAATACGAACTTGAAATTAAATTTAAAAAAAAATCATCTGACACTGTTTTTTAATTTTTCTTCGGCATAAAATAATATGAAGAAAAAAATGTTGAATAATGCTAAATAATAAAAGTTATCAAAAGTTTTGCTTTATGTAAATAGTTATTGGTGACTATTATAATTTAATTTAGGTTTTAATCATGATTTAGAACAAAGCTGCAAAAAAAGTTTACCTTAAGTATAACAAAATGCACTTAGTGATTTTTTAAAAGAACGTAAAAAAAAATCGAAGAAAGAATAATGGGTTACAGCAATGAATATAAAATTTTCTTAAATTATATATTCAGAAATAAATTAATTTACACTTTTTTTTTCATTTTTGCAATTATTATGATTATTATAATTCCGGAGTATAGCAATAATTATACTTATATAAGAATAAAAAAATAAAATGGCTTCAATGCACATTGAAGTTTGAAGAATATTAGCATATCAAATCTAAAAATTAACTACTTATTTCAAATTCCTCCCTTAAAGTGAGTAAAATTATTATAATAGTTAAGCTATACCAAAAATATCTTAAAAACATGGTTTTAAATTAAACTTTAACAACACGTTATTCATATATTGATTACAAAGGTTGTAAATTATTATATCTAGCTATAAATAATTATAGTAAATCCCCATATTATTAATATGTATGCTTATAACTTATAAACTAAAATTATTTATAAACAACTAGGTAAATATTATAATATACAATTGACTTAGAGAGTTCGATATTTATTATTCATGTATGAAATTACATATTAATATTATTATGAGCACTGTCATTTGTCACAATTTCAAATCTATCATTTAATAATCGAGTTTACAGTATAAATGATTTAAGTACCTATACTATATTATACATAAACAAACAGAAAATCTTATATTTTATTTGTTTATTGAAAACAATTCACATTTACAGTTGATTTTTATTTCAAGAATGATCAACAATAATAAATGTTTTGTCCGTCTATTTTTGATTGATTATACTAATATTCGCTTCCGTTTTTATGTTTTTTTTTGGTAATTGATAGGAAAATTATTCGGGACCATGATAGGCATAACAACAACATAATAGTATTAGAGAAGTCTAGTGCTTGTGTCTCGACCTCGTGCATCGGGAACGAGAATTAAATTTGGCGGTAAATTATCGTGTTTTTATTCGACGGTTATAAATTATGCGGTAGGTATACTCATATTACATTTTGTGTAACGACCACGTCATCCAACCCATCACAATATTACGGACGAATAACTTAAAAAAATTACCATCGATTTTAGAAAAAAAACCTATGGCTGCGCTTACACTTTGACAACACAAACGTACACGTAATAGAAATCGCGTTCGAATCATTTACGTGGGTCGTCTTACTACGCGAAATCGTTGAAATAGCATACCTACGGCCAATTGCCGAATCGCCGTGAAACGACGGTACGGCGAGCCTCATTGAATTAACAGCCAGGTCACGCGTTGTGTGCTTATGTGTTCGCAGGTGCCCGGAACTGAACGCGTGCATCAGTTCGCAGTTCTGGTGCGACGGCGAGACCCACTGCCCGATGGGGTTCGACGAGGACCCGGTGAACTGCGCCGACCGGAACGGCGTGAACCTCGTGTACGTGGGCGTGCTAGGCGGCACGGCGGTGGTGCTGTTCACGGTCACCGTCGCGGCGGCGGTGGTGTGCCTGCGGTGCAGGGCCAACAGGTCGCGGCGGGCCGAGGACGGCCGGCGGCGCGCGTCCCACAAGGGTTCGTCCGCCGTCGACCCGATGATGTGCGCGGTCGACCGTGCGCACTACGACAAGCGGTTCCTGGAGCAGAACGGCGGCGGCGGCGGCGTCGTCGGCAACTCGCTGGGCAAACGGTATCCGTCGTCTTCGGACGACCTTTACCTGGATTGCAAGCAGGACAGCATGTGTTGACGTAACGACAGCGACGGCAGCGGCGACGGCGACGGCGACGGCGAACGCCTTCGAATCGAGACGACCGTCTGAACCGCGGTACACCGGCCAAACCCGACCGCGGTCGGTATGTGAACCGCGATCGGCGGGTAAACATTTTTCGTGCGGTCGCGTTGACCCGAAAGCCTTGCAGGACGATACGGGGCATAACGCTATAATATATGTCACGTACCGTTTCGTCTCGTTTTTGTTAGCTTTGTACGCGGTAGAAATCGGTTTTTTTTTTTTTTAAAGAACAATTCGACAAACGTGCATGAGATCAAATAATATCCTATCATCGAATGTCTGCGTAAGATCATTAAACACTCTTCTCGTAACGTTATCGATATAACGATTTCTACTGCACTCGATAATACTGTCGCCGTCGGTCGGTCGAACACCGTCTATAGCGATATAATGATGTTGTATAACACCGTCGGACACGCTGGTTGATAATAACTTTCACTGTAAATATATTTTATTATTATTACAATCATCATTGTCGTCGTCGTCGCTGTCGTTATCATAGAGGTATTTACCGACGTCTATATAGTATACTCGTAAGCCAGCTCGGAATAACGTCTTAAATAAATCCCTTTTACTATACGCAATATGCGATGCATACCGTCAATCCGCAGGAATCCGACTTGTGCATATCTATCCACCGCCCCTCACCGCTCTCGCCGAATTGTTATTGCTTATATTTTTCCCGTTTGCCATTCACCTTTATACTTACATCCGCGGACACGCAATGGCGAACATACAGGACGTTTCAGAAACGAAGGCTATATTAATCAGCGAAAATTCGACTCGATATTATAATAAAAATTCTTACGCTCAGCAACATGTCCGAAATCTTAAGCTAAAGGTTCGGTCCCCACCGTGTGAGTCAGAAAGAAATCGTGATCTGTAATATATATTGAGCAATTATCGAGATAGTAATTATTTTGCCACATCACTGTAGGACGGTCATCTTATACGAAATTTAGCGTTCATATTTTATTCTGATGAAATCATTAAATTGTACGATGAACAAAGTTGTTACCATTGTGCAGAAATCGTCGATAAAATAAAAATTTCACGTAACAAAATCGTATCAATTTAACCTTTTCTTCGTTCGAACAGGATAATAATTTATCTGTTAAAATTATCATTTGGTTATGGGAATATAAAATAATACAAATGCTTGAGTTTATTATATAAAAAATATCGCGAGTGCGAAATCCTAGTCAAAAATATACGATGGAAATATACACAATCAAATCAGTTAATTAAAATTTCAAATAACTCAAATTAAGAATTACTCGTCAGTTTCAAACATAAAAATAGAAGTAATTAAAATTTAGTCGATCTGTAATAGCCATTAATAGATACCACTTTTTCAAAAATAATATATTACAATATCATTTAAGTCATTTGATTTTCTAATAACCATAAATATGATTTTATTATAGCAATAAAAATGAGTTTATGATAAATACAGCCTAGGCACTTTGATCTGAAACGTCCTATCGTTAAACGTTATGATGAAAAGTAAAAATCTAAGTTATCACTATTATTGCTCGTTTCAAAGATAAAATATAATTAAACTTTTATGACGTTTATAAAAATTGGCAATTCTTCTTTAGGACCTTGCGGTATGACAATTTTGAATTTTAATGTTAAGTTTGGTTTTAATATAATTTTATATTTTTAATTCTCATGTTATTAAGTACGTGGTAAAGTATAACGTTAAATATATTATGGAATTCCTTACACGAGAAGCGGTGGGAGAATTTTGCCCCTCGTAATAGGTTAACTATGCTGTGTGTACAGTGTACTACGGATAAGTAGTTCTTACCATATATTTAGTAAAGGATATTTTTCCAAGCTTTGAAGGATAAATCTGTTTGAATATTGATAGACATGCCTAAGTATATTATATTGCCTAACCTCGAGCAACAACACAAACTTTCCAAGAATGTAAAATATTGTAAAGCCCCTGTAGTATAATATTTAAATGATAAAGTATATTTTGATACAAAATATTCTAAATAACATGCCTGTTTTGTAAATGATTGTTATTCAAAAACCATCTTTAAGGCGTTGAGTGACTTTGTTACGCAATGTGAATAATTATTTTAAATCAAAAATAATATTAACGTTTTTAATAATAACTCTTGAAAAAAATTATATAATTATTTATTAATAGTATAAAAAAAATTACGATCACCATTGTTACATTATCAATCTTGTATTTAATTGAATTTTCTCAAAAGCTATTTTAATTTAATTTTCTGTTAGTCCTAATAAACATTAAAATAAATCCCGTTATCTTAAAATGGGTCATTATAATATTATATATAACTGTATAATTGCGTGATCTCGTGTATTCTTGTAACCTTAAAGTCAAGAGACTCAAAATGACTGAATAATTCATTCATACGTTTATTAATCTATTGAATACTTAAATTTGTTATTAATAATTGTTACCTATGTTTAAATATGATATTTATTATTTCAAGTCATTACGGAAAAAATAAGCATAAAATCCCTGAAAAAAAAGGTTGTGTTAGTTAATAGAGGAAATAAGATATTTATTGAAACGTAGAAAAACGGTTTTATGTTTTATTACTGTCTGAAAATATATTAGTAAATTATTAAAACAAAGAATAAATAAAAAAAATTAAAATATGAGTTTTTTTAACTGAATAGTATACTTGCCTAAGTTTTAATAACTAAATACATATTTTCTGACTAGCATTTTAAAATAATTATATACTATTTATTATTAATAGTACATAATGCATAATACATTAAATACTCGAATATAATTATGAAATATGTACTAATATATTATTGTTTTAAACTTTCTGATGTATAATTCATTTTGTATGACTGTATCAATTAAATTTAAAATAATTTTAGAATGTTTTTGGATTTTGTAAAAAAAAAAAAATATATTAAATGCTTATAATAAGGTTACATAGGTTACTGATAAAGTCCAACGTGTATTCGCTTACCGCTCTTTGTGTTTGCAATAAATATAAGATTAATACTATGTTAATACAATATTAAAATTATCATCATTACTACTATCTTCCAAAATTATTATTTTTGTCAGACTTTCTCCAACCATATTTAACTGTACAAAGCCATGTTTGTATAATCTTTTGTGCCACTTTGATGTTACCATATTATATTATTATAATAGTTATTAAATAAAAAATACTATTTTGTTTTTAAGCTATATATACTCACTTATTATTATTCTCGACCTTTGTAAATACGGATATGTGCTCATTATAAATAAACGATAAAATTGAAATGTATTTTGTTTTATTTTACAAAGTCATTGGTTTATTGCAATAAAGAAAACTGCAATTCAAACAAACGCAATTTATAATACTAAATACATAACATTAAACTTATTTTGTTTTGAATATTAGCTAGTATTATTAGCAATTCTATTGAATATTTATTATTCTAAAAACTATATTCTACACAAATATATATTTTAACCATTAAAAAATATGTTATAAAAATATATTCCCAAATTTAATTTTTACCTCAGTAATCGGATATAAAAAAATAGAATTAAAATGAATAAAATATTATGTTATATTATTTTTGTTAACATTCGTATTGAATAAAATATCCTTATATTCCAAGAAATCACCGACCATGAGTACTAAACTTAATATTTCATAATTTAATGTCCATTATGTATTATTTTACCGGAATAAATATGTATTATTTACTAACCCCCAGCAAAGAGATTCCGGTTGCCTTTACAAGGCACTCACTGAAATCTATAGTTTTAAAAATATATCTTTAGTATGAAGGAAATTAATGATAAGAATCCATTTCATTAACTATTTATACAACATAAGATTTATTTATTATATTACATACATAATTTTTATATTTTAAATCACTTGGGTAAACATTAAACAATAACTGTTGTTTTAAAAATGAATCTCATATAAAATATGAATATTATTACACTTATTATGTAAATCATTAATTATCATTTATAATTACCATTCAGTAGATAACTCTATGATGACTTTAAAGTAAATCTGATTATCTAAAACTAAAACTAGTCATAGTAGTTAGATCAAGGAAAATAAATCAAACTATCTAATCCATCATGTAAATGAACGTAAAAACAAGGTAAGGATTTTTATAATTTGTAATTTATTATTTATATAATAGTATGCTTAATATATTTTGAGTATTTTAAGAATACTTAATGAATGCACATACGAGGTCTGTTTTACAAACGTGCACAACATAGTAAATTTGTGTTCAACAAAATCTATTTTTTATGTCATTAACTTTAATATTACCATAAATGAATTTATTATCAAATTTAAAGTTTAGAATACCAGATTTTATCATACATTTTTCTATATTTTAATTTAAATTAAATTATATAAGTAATTATTTAAAATATTAAAATTTTCAAAACTTGCTTTAAAATTTAATGATAGATCAATTTATTATATAATTAAGACTAACAGAACAAGATTGATTGTTCTGAACAAAATTTGGTTATATCATAATATATTCTATACGTTTAAAAGACAGAGACAACACATACAGACATCACGTCTTCTCTTGAAAAAGTTTTAATAGTATACTATCGTAAAAATAAAACTTAAAAAAAATATATTAAATATTTATGATTTTCACTTAAATGAAACATTTAACACTTATTTTTGATTTTATTAAATTATTAAAATTAATTGAGTATTAATATTTTCATAAAATACGCTTTACCCAAACATTTATTCATAAATTTCAAACTTAAGTTAATTTATAGACTTAAAAATTAATTTTAAGTTTTTCCTTAAAAACACAAACAATTCTAGACTTTGCGATGATAAAAACTGACTATAATAATATTGTGTAACAGCTTACCACGGAATTGCCCAAAATACTTCATTATTGTTGATATTCTAAGATGCAAGTGGTATTGATTTTAAAGTTGGGCGTCTAAACGCCCTAAGTACTGCTTTGGGTATTGACACCCATGTTACAGTTCGTAGCTCTAATGGTCACTGTTCACCTGTTAATTTATATACTCATCTATATTTATTTAGTTATGAGAACTCTAACTACAGTAAATAAAAATTATAGAGAATCAGATATCAAATAATACCTACATCGTTATTGTTTTTGGCATGAGTATTTTTTGCACCTCAAGACAACAAAATACTGTGCGCGTTTTTATACATATTATAGTTATTTAATAATATATACAATAAAGTGTGTAACGATAATTACTATTATACCATGACAACATACAAATGGATCGCGTCCGTGCCGGAGACCTTTGCCGTTGTTCCAGTCGAATACGCGTAGTATAATATTCGGCAACGGCGGCGGCGGTTAATTTCGATGCGTTTTACGGGCCGGTGAACATTGCGCCTCTTGTCGCTTTTCCTCCACTCCGTGATAATTATAAGTTTTCTGCCGCCGACGCCACCGTCAGCTCGTTCCATCCGTTGCCTTTTATCCTTGCTCAATATACTAATTGCTAAACCGAGTATACCACTGCAGTTAGGTATAATATACGTAGGCATGTTGGCAAGCAGGTATATAGGTTATAGGCGTGTATAATGCTCGCGTACACGTACTCCTCGTCGTTGTGGATTCCCGCGAGAGAGACTAACGACGAAGAAGAGTACATATCATAATATATATATATTATTATTATTATATTGTGCTCGTGCGATTATCATAAATCTATCCCTGCCCGCAGCACCGCGTATGATGCCGTAGCGACAAAGGGTCCAGTCAGAGTCGTAACGGGAGGGTATGAATGGGTAGAGAGTTAGAATAGTAGTATAGTGGCTAAACAATCGTCGTTGTTGTTGTAGGAGTAGTGTAGTAATAGAAGGTCTCCCGCGGGGTTTACGGGTGCCAAATATTCTCTCTTTCTCTCTCCCTGACATTCAACTCCGACACGGCCGTTTAAAAGACCAGCTACTGCTTCGAATTCGCCTTTTTTCTTTCGTTTATTTCGTCAATAAATAAATATTTTTATGTTTCATTTCGTCGTTCGACGATGTTCCCCACATCATTTGCCATTTCCTGGTGGTCAAGCCTCACTCATCATAGAATTTCAAAACTAGGTAAACTCATTATATTATTCTCATACATGCATACAGCCTACAACAAAAGCCGTCAAAATTAAAACTACTATGTCACTGTTTGTTTGCACTTTGCTTTTACGATAATATTATATATTGTATTCCTTAAAAATAGTTAGATTCTTATTTACACATCAATATAAAATTGTTTTAAGAAATATTTATATATAACAGAAAATCAACTATCAAAATCTACTTAAAGTAAAGTCAGAGTGAACCTTTAAGTGACTGCTGTTGTCATTTTAGTTTAACATGTGTCTGCATGCATGTTACTATCAAAATAGAATTACTACGTGCAGATACCAATTTCCTTATGGCCAAAGTAAACAATTAAACACACTACTTAGAAATCGTACAGCAAACGCCAAACAGTAATCAATTGCAGCGTATTGGGAAATGTTTAATTGAATGAAAACATAAAATCTATTTATCATCTATTAAAACCTATGTGATCACAGTCATATATCTGATGTACAAAATGTCTTCGTCACCGTACACCTCTATTTTGGGTTAGAATTTTTTTTTTATTTATAGATTATAGATATCGTACAGTGTCATGACTCTGCATCGAGTATTTTTCTAATAAAATTATATGACCCAGAAGTTTCTATATAAAATAAATGTATTTAGTTACTTTTATTTTATTCGTCTTTTATAAAATATAAGAATTTATAGTACAGGTAATTATATACTTATTTAAATTATTCTATTATTTTCTAATTGAAAAAATACATTTCTAAGTTTTAGAGTTATATTCTAAAATCATACGATATTCATAATTTCAAAATAAGTGCATATAATTTTACATATAAAAATTTAACTTTTAAAAATCAAATTATGGTTTCATCACATATATATACAAAGTGTCCCACGAAGGTTTATATATTTAAAATTGAGGTTTAATGGAGTTTGCATTACTCACACTAATTTAAAATATTATATCATCGTGGAACAACCT